CCCCGCTCGCTGCGTCCCCCTGCAAAGGGGAGCAGCAGCTTGCGGGAGTTGCGAGGAACTTAACCACGACCGCGGCGGGGACCAGGGCGCTCTTGCTGCAGCGATCCAGGCCTCGAGGAGACATTCGCTGTGGGCATGGCCCCTTGCTAGTAAACTTTCTAGAAAGCATGAGAAAATCCCAGCAAGGTATCACAGTGCCCAGGAGCCACCCTGAGACCTCGCTGTTAGCAGCGGGAGAGCCGGGCACTTCGGGTCGCCGCTGGGGTGATTTCAAAGGCGACTCGCACAGCACGAGAATGACTCTAGGCCTGAAATCATTAACCGTAAGACATGTGTTGACTTAATCATTACTAGCACATTTACACTTGCAGAAATGTTTCTGAAACAGTCCCTCTCTCCCTCCTCTGTTGAGAGCTGGACTGGGTTGGTGGCTTCTCTGCCAGGGCTGGCCCGGGCCCAGCGCCAGCTCCTCACCTGCGTTGAAAGAGAAAAGCAACTTGCAAATGAACAGATTTAAATGTGGAAACCGCTCTGTACGTGGAGGCCCCTCGCTGTAACTCATGTGACGGCCCCCACAGGACTGTTTTGGGACCACTCTGACTTCAGCAAGTCAGAGCTCGTTTAGAGGAAATTACAGTGTTTCAACATTTGGTTTTGCCCCTAATCAGACAAAACCTTTAATGTATAATGCTCCGTATGGAGTACAACATCTGGAGGCACTCCAGCAAATGAGAAATGTCTCATCTCAGCATCTTCCAAGCAAAGATGATGCTTAGTGCGCTCATTAACAAAGGAGAGCAAAATATTTTTGTAAAACCAAAAATTCCCATACTAAATTTTGCTTTTTGTGGAAGCTCAGCTTCTGCTGGAAGACTAGGATAGCAGAAAATTCCCAATCAGCTGTAAACTTGTCCTAGATCTGGCATTGATTTGGGCTGTAAAAGGCTCGTTTTCAAAGTTGTGAGGTTCATCTTTGAAATCCCTAAGTGCGAAACAGGACGAGCAGCTAATTAGGCAGCCGAATGCAAAGTCACATGCATAGAGACCACGCGTGCCGGCCGCAGGACGGGGCCGCACTTCGGAGAGCGGCGACTCGCTCAAGGACTCGCAGGTCAGCGCAGCCCTCGCACAGCGGCGAAGCCCCGCGAGCGCCTCTCGCCGAGCAGGAAAAGCGTTCACCAGCAATCTGATTTTAGACGATACTTCTGTGCGCCCCTGCAAAGCGAGAGGCTGCTTGTGGGCTGGCTTTGGTAGGCGGGAGCCCTGGGTTCCCGACCCGGTGTAACGCTCTTGCTGGTCTCAGGCAGATCACCAAGTTTTGCCGTGCCTCAGTTTCCCCATCTGCGACCCAAGGGTTATACTCGTGTTTGGCCGGAAAAGGACAGGCTCTTGGAAGAGGAGAGATCTCGCTTGCACCCTGCACTCAGCACCTCGGACAGGAGGTGCCGGTAGGACATATAGCCCCACCGAGGGGGCTGCCTCAGCCCTTCTCCCCCCGCGGCTGAGCTGGCCCGGCCCCACCGGGCACCGGTTTCATTAGGGGACCCGCTCACGTCCCCGGGCCCTTTCCCACGTTGGCCTTGTCGCACTGAATTAGCGCTCCGCTTCTCAGCACCGCGCTCGATAGCGTGAGCCAGCTCCGAACAAAGTCCTCCCCCCTCCTCCCGCCCCAGCTCAGGTAATTAATGAAACAAAGTGGCTGCTCTTCACCGCGAGCCAGCGAG